CTCCTTCAGAATAGTCTTCTGGAGATATGCTTAAACTGAGAAAGGCAGTAGTAATGTGAGGCCTCTTTGGGAGGGGTTGTTGTTGTGAAGTGCCATCAAGTCAGTTCTGAATCATAGCGCCCCCATATAGGGTTTTCGAGGAGTGGCTGGTGAGCTTGAACCACTGACCTTGTGGTTCAAACCAACGTTGCAGTCCAATGCATTAATCCGCAGCACCACACCAGGGCTCCTTGGGAGGGGTTGTTGTTGTTAAATGCCTTCGAGTCGATTCTGACCCTTTATAGGGTTTCCAAGGAGCCCCTGGTGAGCTTGAATCACTGACCTTGCAGTTCAAACGACTTTGCAGTCTGACGCAGTAGCCCACAGTAAGTAGAAGGAAAATGTGGAAGCAGGTAGAACACGATGCCATGAGCAGTTCTGACTCATGGTTTCTTTAAACTTTTGATAAAAGGTGGAGTGCCATGAACATTCTCTGAAGTGACAAAAGAAAATGAGTCATTGCTGAGGTCACTTGGATTGAGACTGGGCTGCTTGCCAGAGAGAACTGCATGAAGTACCAGCTGTCCTTTTGTGATGTCAGCCTAAGGTCCAATTATATGTGGTACTAGAATGGGTAGCAACTGCACAGCTCAGGTTCTTCATAGGTAAAATGAATATTCCACCAGTTATCTTAGAGGCTAAGTGTCGGTTAAAGCACCCCATGCAGTACCTGGTACACAGTATGCCATTCAGTAGGCTCTCCTCCCTTCAGTCTACATATTTTTCCCATATGTATGCACAGACACAAACATTACAGACCTTTACCTCTGACTACATTTAATGCCCTTTCTATTCTTTTTACCTCACTGACTTCTCATTTAGTGTCTTATGCAGTATTTTATGTATCCTTTTTTTTTTTTTACATGGGAGAACATTAGTTTTACATTCATTCTGTCGTACATGCCATGGTTACAATCCCCTCCATGCAGTCCTTCCCCTGTGCCCTCCAGGTCTTCAGCACACAGTCGCTCTCCCTCTCTGGATCTAAAGTCTCCAGCTGCTCCATCG